TATTAGAGGGTGACCTGCCAGGCCATTGAGGACTGCGACGGTGGTGCCAAGTTCCTCGTCACTGCGGGGGGGTTTTCGGGTGTATAGGGGTTTAGTAGGGGTTTAGGGTTTGGGGTGTGGGGGTTTAGGGGTTCAGGGGTCAGAGTTTAGGGTTTAGGGTTTAGGTTCCTCGTCACTGCCGGGGGGTCAATATGCAGTGGACACAGCTATAACCCTGTAGCCCTGTAACGCTGGTAGCCCAGGAATCGCTGGAGTCCCTGAATAGCCGATGAGAAACACCCTAAACCCTAAACCCTGAACCCTGAACCCTAAACCCTAAACCTAAACCCTAAACCCTAAACCCAAGCATTTAGTGAATTTAGGGTTTCTGGTTCACGGCCAAGGGGTTCAGCATTCAGAAGGAAGGAGCTTGCATGCTCCAGGGGTTTACGGTTGGAGGGTTGCTTGGCAGAGTAGTCCGTAGCCTTCAACCTCGGGGCAGGACAACCCATATCGCTAACGCTAAACACATGGAACCCTGAACCCTAAACCCTAAGCCAATATCATAAGAACCCCATACCCTAAACCCTAAACCCTAAACCCTAAACCCTAAACCCTAAACCCTAAACCCTAAACCAGGTTCTCCACAGAGCCCTACACACGTGGCGAGAGGGGCGGGGGTGGAGTTGCCCGCGTGCTCCAAAACGGCAACGTTTTTGAGAAGGCCGGGGTGAACCTTAGCGCCACTTGCCTCATGTCAGCAAGGGTTTAGGGTTTAGGGTTTAGGGTTTAGGGTTAAGCGTTAAGGGTTCGAGTTTTTAAACCTCTTAGGTCTTAGGTAGCTATAACTTGATGGTTAGTATGTTTTCAGGCAAGAAGATGGTAAACTTGGAGGTCTAGGTATAGGGCTCAGCTCCACAACCGTCAGAGGGGCAAGATGTCAGACATGCTCGGATGCCCAGTAGTACCCTTATTCCTTTTTTTTTTTTTTTTTTTTTTTTTTGGGGGGGGGGGGGGGGGGGGGTTGGGTTCCCTTATAAACCCCGTTAAGCAACAAAAGGGCACCCTTTTTGAGCCTAGGTTACTGGGCAGCCTAGCATGTTGGGTCTTGTTGAGGGCTGAGATGGAACACGAAGCGGAGCCTTGACCTCCCGCTTTAGCGTTGCGTGTATGGGTCTTGCTGAGGCAACTGGGTGTTGACACCCTAAACCCTAAACCCTAAACCCTAAACCCTAAACCCTAAACCCTAAACCTTAAACACTACACCCGATAAGGTTTCGGGTTTACCTTCAGGGGCTTGGGCTTTGGGTTTTGCGGCTAAGGGGTGTGGGCCCTCCGTTGTCGCAAGCTGCGCAGTTCAGGGTTTGGGGTTCGAGGGTTAGGGTTTTAGGCCTTTAGCAAGGCTTCAGGGTTTTTGGGGTTTTAGGTGTCAGGGTTTGAGGGTTTCAGGGTTTCAGGGTTTCAGGGTTTCAGGGTTTTAGGGTTTTAGGGGTTTAGGGGTTCAGGGGTTTAGGGGCTTAGGGTTTAGGGTTTCGGGATGATTGTTTGGGGTTTTAGGTTTTGGGGGTTTCGGTTTTGAGGTTTGGGGTTTAACTTAGGGTTTAGGGTTTTGGTTTTAAGGTTTAGGGTTTAGGGTTTAGGGTTTAGGGTTTAGGGTTTAGGGTTTAGGGTTTAGGGTTTAGGGTTTAGGGTTTAGGGTTTAGGGTTTAGGGTTTGAGGTCGTCTACGGCGAGATGCCCGAGTCGGCCCTGAACGCGGCCACTGAGCGGGGGGCCGACCGCGCAGGCGGCAGTTGCTTCCTAGACTTCCAGTCAGAGCTCGTACCTTGGGTTTAGGGTTTAGGGTTTAGGGTTTAGGGTTTGGGGTTTGGGGTTTGGGGTTTGGGGTTTGGGGTTTGGGGTTTGGGGTTTAGGGTTTAGGGTTTAGGGTGTAGGGTTTAGGGTTTAGGGTTTAGGGTTTAGGGTTTGGGGTAGTCAAGGTTTCGATCCGCCCCTTGTTTAAACAGTCCTTGATAGGGATCATAATCGGGAGTACTAGAATCGCTATTAAGGACCGTAGAACAAGGAACATCCCAACTCGTACCCCCAAGGTCGTACCCCAAAAGTTTCCCTGAATGTAGCCCTAGTGTGGCCCGTATAGTCCGCTAGAGGACCTCCCCAAACCCGAGGGCACAACCTGAGATTCCAAGGTAGAGTCCCAAGATACAGTGATAAACCCAAGTCCTCGTCTGATTATCAATTCGTTTCTGGGACAAGACTAAGAGTAGTTTCAGGGTTAGGGTTTAGGGTTTAGGGTTGAGGGTTTAGGGTTTAGGGTTTAGTGATGGGAAGGAGGCCGTCCAGAGCTCTATGCTCCCGGAGCCTGATCCAATTCTGGCTCTTGTAGGCTTTGGGGCTTAGAGTTTGGGACCCTAAACCCTAAGCCCAAACCCTAAACCCTAAGCCCCAAACCCTAAACCCTGAACCCTAAACCCTGAACCCTAGACCGTAGACCCTAAACCCTATCCGCCCTACTTCCTGCAAGGCGGAAAGCTGAAGCCCGGTCAGAAGGTCCCTTTCTTCGCTTGCGGCCTGTCCTCTGTGATGCATCCCAAGACGCACGGCAAGTCGGTTTCGAGTTTTGGGTTAGGGCTTAGGGCTTAGGGCTTAGGGCTTAGGGCTTAGGGCTTAGGGTTTAGGGTTTAGGGTCTAGGGTCTAGGGTTTGGGGATGCGTACTTAGGCGAACTCGGGGCGCAGGGGCGTTCTCTGTTGGGGTCTCGGGTCTGGGGCGTCTAAAAGCCCTGTAAGCCCCCTTCTTAAGGGGCTTCAAACAGGGCACAGGTTCATCGGGTTTGTAAGGCGTATAGGGTTTAGGGTTTAGGGTTTAGGGTTTAGGGTTTAGAGAGTTGAGGGCTTGTGGGGTTCAGAGGGTCTCCGGAATTTCCGGGCTTCCGCTGCCGCGTTGTTTTGGGGCGTGGCAGTCAATGATCCGTCCTTCCAGCGTCTCCAGCGTAGCCTCCCACCCTAAACCCTAAACCCTAAACCCTAAAACCCTAAAACCCTAAAACCCTAAAACCCTAAAACCCTAAAACCCTAAAACCCTAAAACCCTAAAACCCTAAAACCCTAAATCCCTAAATCCCTAAATCCCTAAAACCCTAAACCAACCTCGACACCTAAGCCCTGCCACGGTCCGGTTGGAAGCACCACTTGCTCCACAGACTCGAAAATCCTGGGTATACCCAAGCTGAAGTTTGAACTTGAAAGCCATCCCTAAATCAGGATTCAGGGTGTAGGGTGTAGGACTAGGGTTTAGGGTCGTGGTTTTCTGGAGTTTGGGGTTTGGGGTTTTGGGGTTTTTGGTTTTGGGGGCTTAGTGGTACCCTCAAGCTTGAAACCCCGTGAAAAGCAACGAGTCCTGGAGCCATTTCTGAGGGTAGCCGAACTTTACGTAGGTTTCACGGTTTTAGGGTTTAGGGTTTGGGGCTTACCTTTTAGGGTTTGTGGCTCAGGACCCTAAACCCTAAACCCTAAGCCCCCAAAACCCTCAACCAGGAATCCCCACTGCCCCACCATGCACTTCAACTACCGCTACTTTGAGACGGAGACCGGCCAATGGTCTGCCGGCCGGTTTTGGGTTTCGGGCTTAGGGTTTAGGGCTTCGGGTGTTTAGGGATATAGGGTGTTTAGGGCTTAGGGTGTTTAGGGCTTGCGGCTTCGGGGCTTCGGATTATTTTAAGGCGGCTTTGTAGGGCTTAGTTGTTTTCAGTTGCTCACGGTTGAAGGCTTCGAGGGTTTCGGGCTCTCGGGTGCAAAATATGGGTTCGGTTGAGCTGAGCCCTCCACGGGATTATCAACACCCCCCCCCCCCCCCCCCCCCCATTAGAATCCCTATCTTTTTGTGGCAGCTGAGGGTTTGGGGTTTTCGAGTTTGGGGTTTGGGGTTTGGGGTTTAGGGTTTGGGGTTTAGGGTTTAGGGGTTTAGGGTTTAGGGTTTTCGATTTTGGGGTTTAAGGTTAGGGTTTGTGTTCTGCTCGTAAAAGGGGGGACATCCTAACCTTCTCCCGAAGATGGCACTTCCAGGGTCCCCGTTGGCGGGATTTTTCGGGCGGGGGGGGGGGGGTTAGGGTTTTGGGTCTAAACCCTAGGGGGGGGGGGGGGGGGGGGTTAGGGTTTTGGGTCTAAACCCTAAACCCTAAACCCTAAACCCTAAACCCTAGGGTTTGGGGTTTAGGGTTTATGGTTTAGGGTTGGCTTGGAAGACCCGGGCCGCCCTGGGGGAGGGAGTATGGCTGACTCCCCAATCCCAGGGTAGAGAAGAAACCAACCAATGCATAAACTCACATACAGATATATGGATAAACGTACACACACAATATATGTATAGATGTATATATGTATATATACATATGTATGTGACTATATCCGTATATAATACATATAACTATATATATATATATATATTATAGTTCTTGTTTTTGGCGCCAGCGCCCCTTTGCAGCGTCAGCTGCCAGTGGGCAAGTCAGCGAGATGCAGCACAACCGGTGAGACAGCGCGCAGAAGTGGCCAATTGAACAGGCAAACCCTAAACCCTAAACCCTAAACCCAGCAAACCAAAGCACACCAAGACAAGGCCTGCGGCGAGCAAACTAGTTCAAACACTGAGTGAAACGGCGACTTACCCTCGAGCTCTCAGAACTGGATCACGACCAAATAGTCCCATGGGTGAGCTCACAGCCACATTGCAACGAAGCGATCATCACGGAAAGCTGAAGCGGTGCGCGCGAATGGGCGCAGGTTGAGTGGTAAGTCATCAGTGCAAAGTTCTGCGATTCCATATGCTTTCGTGGAGCGAGAGCGTCATGCCATTTGAAGCATGTATGTACTGCCGCTACAGGGCCCTTGAGCTTATGCGCGCTAGGCGCCAGAAAAGTAGCAGTGTGCAGCCTGCTGGGGAACCTTGTGAACCAGGCTCCAACTCCCTTAATCCGCGGTCGTGAACCCCGCAGATTGCATTGGTAGCGCATGCCCAATATCCCTTCGATGACGCAGCCTACCTCTGGCGGCCAAGATGATCTGTCGGCGGCTGAGGCCGAAGATGATGAGGCCGCAGACTCCGAAAGGGAGTCCGACAGACAGATGTACGGAGAAGACGATATGGATCCCTCGTCACATCCGGCATATGTAGTTGAAGACGAAGATGAAGATGAGCTGCTGGCAGAGCCCCCTCGTGGAGGTTCCGGACAGCGCGGTCGCAATGGTCTGAGGACAGCGGCGGCAAGCAGTTCTTCTAGCGCACCTAAGTCTTCACCCTTGGAACCGGCGAAGGCAAGAGGAGCCCCTGCAGGCTCTGATGACAAGAGCAAGTCGCAGCGGAAGCCCCGGGGGAACTTACCTCCGGCTCCTGCCTTCGACGGCGACAAGAAGAAGGATCCAAAGTGCTTCAGGAAATGGTCGGCCAAAGTGGACTCCTATGTGGAGATCGCCAAGAACATCATCGACGACAGCGAGATCGGCTTGAGGCTTCACGCTGCGCTTGATGGAGACGCGGCCGACTACCTGGAGGACATCCCGGCTCGGACTTTCGGCGTGGAGAAAGGGTGGCAGGTCTTGTTGCGTGTCCTCAAGGAGAAGTTCGACGAAAAGAGGATGCACAAGGTGGGGTCTGCCATGCGGGGCTTCTTTCGCCTGAATTTGGGCGACAAGTCCTACTCCACCGTTAGGGCCCAAAGCTGTCCAAGGGGTGGCTGCCGCGCAAATGAAAGCGTCCCTTTCGTTTGTGGCCAATGATTCGTACGCATTGTATGATGTTGACGGGCCGCCAATCCATGTTTTCAGACATGTGCTATAGTGGGAAAGAAGGTATCCTGGCGCAGAGACCTGCAAACCAAGAGTCTTGCACATGATGCATCAGTTCTGTGTATATAGAGGAAGCTGCGAATGGTTTCACATCTGATGCTCTTGATGCTTGTGATGTCTTGACCCCCGCGTGCGCGCAATGCTCATGAGGAGGCAAAAAAACCTGGTAAGCAAGAAGTTCCGGCGGTTTGGTTTATGTCAAGGTGGTAGTATTGTCGAAAAGGCAGTGGAAAAATAGCAGCAGCCTATCTCAGGGGGAGCACTTATCAGATTTAGCAGTAGGCTAGAACTGTGTTGCGGGAGGACAATATAGACCGTGCTATAGTGCTGTGTGAGTGGTCGCAATGCGGCGCTGGCAGTCGCGGGAGAGGTAGTGGCAGTCGGATGAGGTCAGGGTTCTGAAGCATGACGTGAATCTTCTTCCTGTGAGTGTACCTTTCAACCCAGTTCTGTGGCCGAAGCAGGCTATAGAGCTGGAGCCTGGTTGGCCTGGACATGTTTGTGTGATCGTGTGCTACATGCTCGCGCAAGCATTTGGCTTGTGCAGCGGTTGCTTTGCAACGTTGTGAGTGTGTTTTCGCGGGCATCCATGGCTTTGGTGCTCGCCGGAGCATCGGCGGAAGCCCCTGCTGCAGCATGGCGTTCGGTGCGTGCCTTGCTTTAAGAACTGTGAGCCGTGAAACCCAGTTTGTATAAAGAGCTTGTTGATTTTTCGCCCAGGGGCGGGGACGGTCAAGTGGACTGAAGCCGATGTGGAAACTCATCCGCAATGCCAGTTGTTGGTCGCAACATGCTGGAACTTTCTTACATTTGAATGAAGCATGCTCGTACAGTTTCCTTTGCAGGACCGGGTGGCAGAAGGGATGCTCAACTGTCTCTCGGAGAGGGCGACCAATATCCTGCTCAACAACCATTTGCCGGTAGGGTGCAAGGTGGCATCCTTGCAGAGTGAAATTTCCTACGCAACTTGCAAGGACTCACAGATCCTCCAGCTGAGCTGCTAGAATGTAGGTTTTTTGGCGGCGCAGCTGCTACGTACCCCGCCAGGAAATTGGCAAGCACTATGCCTTCCTGTACCCGCTGTGCAAGGAGTTCCCCGATCGTGTCGGTTGCTTATATAATGTTCTAACGCCTGTATGGTTTTGTAACTGCAAATGCAGATGCTTTGCACAGTGCTTCATTGCTTCAGGTGCCCAGCGGATTCTTTCTTACAGATGTCTGGCTGCGCCTGAACGACAAGCTGCGAGGTGGCTTGATCAAGCCAGCGCAGGAAGACGACATCCTCACGCACGCCGCCAAAGAGGCGAAGCGCATGAAGAAATTGATGGGATCATTGAGATATCTTTACCGAAATGGAAACGCTGCTGCAAATGTCCATGTGAAGGAACTCTGTGATTGCAAATGTTTTGTTTGCCATGAGTCGTGTTTCGAGTCATGTCAGGTTTTTTCTTGCACTTCATGTGCAACTTAGGCATCGGTTCCATTGATGAGCGTGTGGCTATCTTGAAGCGATTGCTTATTAAGTCCCCAACGCGTTCTCGCCGTCAAGAGGCCGCTGAGGACGCAGTAGCCGAGCCGGTGGTGCCCGTGGCCCCTGCAGAGCCGGTAGCCGCCCTTCCCGACTTTCCTGCCCGAATGGATCTGGCGGCCAACAAAGCCGAGCGGGCAATGCGGTATGAGCTTCGCTATGGCCTGTCAACAGGCGATGCAACATTTAAAATCAAGTTGGTAGCAAGACACGTGCTGCTTTGGGAAATATCAGTCTGCCAGGTGACACCGAGTCCTCAGACTCCGATGACGAGGAGTACGACGAGGAGGAGTCAGAATCCGAAGAGTCTGCGGACAGCTCTGTCGCCGAAGGCGTGTGTGTGACCATGAAAAGGGGAGTAGGGGCAGAAACTTTCTGACTGTCAGACCCCAATGATGCTGACACTGTCGTTCCCGAGCATTTCCGTGAAGGCACGTTTGTTCTGACGCGTTGCGGGATGTCAATTTTGGGCACACTTGATGTGATGTCGTGCAGCGCAGGCCTGGCTGCCGAGCGTGCAAACGCACACAGTGGAGCTGGTGAGTTTCCTACTTGGCTCTGTAGTCGCTCAAGCTCCTGAACCCTAAACCCACGCCATGAACAGGTGAGATCGTGCCATGCAGCAGCTTGGATGACGATGAAGGCCCTACGAGGGGGGACTTTTGAAACCCATGCCGTTGACAAGGCCCAATAAGGTTTGGGGTGTAGGGCTTAGGGTTTTAGCGTTTAGGGTTTTAGGGTTGTTTTTAGGGTTTAGGGTTTTAGGTTTAGGGTTTCGGGTTCATAGAAATTGTATGGTTTGGGTCCGGGGTTTTGGGAGGTTTTGGGCAGTTTTTGTGTTTTGCTTTTCTTGTTCAATTTTGGAGGGGCTGGAGCTGAGGAGGAGGTGGCGAAACAGAAGGGGTTTGGGAAGGAGGAGGCTTGCGAAGGAGGCCGGGCCCCAAACTTGTGATGGGGGGAGGGGTTGGGGTGGGTGGGCTGGCTGGGGCTGAGGGGCCAAAGTGGCATTTTTTGAGGTTTCGGCTATAATTCAAATTCATGCTGCAGTGGGGTTGGTGAAGGGCTTTCGCGCAAAGCCTGGAATAGTCAGGCAGCATAGTGGGGGGGGGTTTTCACGTCTGCTATTCAATGACAAAAGCGGAGGGGCTGGGATGAGGGCTGAGGGGCTGGGGCTGGCAACTGAGGGGTTGGGCTGGGGGGGCTGGGGCTGAGGAGGGGCTGAGTTGAGGGGCTGAGGGGCTGAGGAGGCTGACCGGCCCGTGCAGGGAAGTTGTGCGTGAGCGTTATGCTTCTTTTTGCACTGTGAAGGACGAAAGATTATTGAGCTGCTCATATACAATTTCTACTTATCTGGCCTCGAGTTTAAGGTTTAGGGTTTAGGGTGTAGGGTTGGGTCTAGGGTGTAGGGCTTTAGGGTCGAAGGTTTGGGGTTTAGGGTCTAGGGTTTAGGTCAAAGCCCCCAGACTAAACCGCTCGCTGTATTTTGGAGTTTCGTGTTCTGTGTTGACAAGGAGAACCTTAAAGCCTGATACTTTACAGTGTTTCTGGTAGTATGCAGGTGAAGAGATTGGGCTGAGTGGGCTTCAAGATTGCCTTGGATGGTCGAACTTTTGGGCATTACGGGGCATCTAAAACCCCACCACCTTAACTCTCCCCGTGAAGTACACACCTCAAAATAACAAGTTTCTGCGATTCCTCACCCTCACCACACTGAAACTTGTCGAGCCCCTATAGTAGTTCCAGGTGTTTTGGGCCCTGCTGGGAATTTTTCAGGGTTTTTTGGAGATTCCTCGATCAGTCCGGAAGGCAGTTTCGCGCAGCCCAACACATGCTCCCAGGCAGTCTCGACCCCGACATGGAGGACAGCCAGCGAACATTGCTGCTAGGTGCAAGAGCACCAGATCAATGGGTTTCACGAGGAAATTGTTCAGTACCTTGTACCTTTGACAGGCGAGCACGTGTGCGAGAACGGTAGCAGCGATGATGGCAGCGTCGAAGACGCAGGTGCGTTTGTTTGCATTTTAAGGGGCAGCTTGAAGATCTCAATCTCATTGTCGCTTGGGCAGGAAATCCTTTCAGCTTGCTTGACGTGCCGCGCTACTCAGAGACAGCCTCCGAGGGAGAGTCGACCCCGGAAGGAGTCTCCGGCGATATGTGTAGCTCAACCACTGTTCAGTGTCGCTGCCTGCGGGCTTCAAACCAGGAGCTGGCAGTGCAAGGGAGGCAAGCGCTGTGGCAGGCCTGTAGCATCCAAGATTGTTTTCAGCAAAACAACAGATCATTTCTGCCAGGACACATGGGGGAAGAGGACGCGAGCTCCGGAGGTGGGGTAGCCGATAATCTTGCAACAACGACTGCTTTCCAAGCCAGCGTGCCGAGGCACTTCGGATGAAGAGGCTTCCTCGGCGAGGTCGCCTGCGTCCGCGCGCCCAGCAGGCTCGAGGGACTTTGCGACCTTGAAGACCCCTTCTCCTGGCATGCCAAAGTGGCTGCACGCTTTCCGGAATGAGATGCCCACCCCACCGCCTGTGGGGGCCGTAGTGAAGCCCGAGAAGAAGGAGAAGACTGCGAAGAAGGAAGCGGTGCCAAGCAAGGCGACCTTCCACCGCGGGAGCAAGAAGAGGACTGTCAAGCCGAGCGTGGCTGCTGAGGGCAGCAGCAGCAGCAACAAGAAGGCAAGAGTGGGACATGAGGTTGAAGATGCTCGGCATGAGCAGCTCGCGCAGGGCCTGCGAAACATCGAGGCGGAGCGCTTCTCAGAGCGCGAGGGTGACATGGGCCCGGCCGAGCGCGAGGAGAACGTGGGCCTGGCAGACCGCGCAGAGGACATCGGTCACCGCGATGCTCTCGAGTGGTTCAAAGGGCATTCGCTGCTTTGGGTTCCGCTGGAAGCACGGCCGGACCAGCATGGCAAGTTCAAGGGCAAGCACTCCTATACCCTTTCTGATTCTGAGGGCGCGAAGGTAGAAATCCTTCTTCGCCACAAGGCATTCTTTGTCAAGAAATGCAGGCCAGGAGCTGTTGGCCCGACTGGCCAGATCAGTGTCAGCAAGTACCTTAAGAATCGGTTAAGACTAAAAATAAACTATTTAGGGAAAAGTTTAAATTTTAACTTTTTTAGTTAAAGTTTAAAATTTAAACTTTAACTAAAAAATTTAAACTATTTTTAGTTTAAATTTTAAACTATTTAGTTTATTTTTCAAGTTTATTTTTCAAGTTAAAATCTTGAATAGACTGACCATTAGTGTTGAGTCTTTACCCTTGGAAGTAGTAGTTGAAAGTCACAGTTGTCCACTTGAGGAGAGTTGGGAGAGAGGAAAACGACCGAGAAGCGACTTGCTTGTCTTAACTTGAGGAGAGCTGTGAGAGAGAAGGAGCGAGACATTTCTTGTTTGTGTGACAGTTTGTGTTGCACTTCGAGTATCAGAGTTTTTTTTGCAGTCAAGCTTTCGTCCGCAAAGATGGATGATTGCAAGTTGTGGGTGGGAGGGTTAGAGCATGCCCTCTCAGCTTCGAGATTGAGAGCCATTCTCCCGTTCTCTGGCGGCAAGATTTGTTTGTATGCTGAGTCACATTTGATCGAAAACCGCCGCCCACCAGCCCATGCTTTGCAGCTCTTTGCAGGTTGGGTGACATCGCCCTGCAAGACGTGTCAATGATGCACCGCGGCTCAGGGACGGCCTCTGCGGCCTGCTTGTGCTCCTGGGCTTTCTTTATGCATGGAGCTCACGTCCACAGTGCCATTGCTTTCTTAAACTTAGCCGGGCCCCTGAGGCTTCGACTCGAAGACCACTCGTGACGAAGCATGGTGGCTTCTTGTTGAGCACGGATGGCCGGTCCGAGAGTGGGTAACTCGAGGCAGCCGGCCTTTTACCTGGCAGGCACCCCAACGTGGAGAGTCTTCTGCAGGCCTCGTGGAGACGCAGATGGTTAGCCGTGTGGAGGAGGAGCTCTTAAGTGAGCTTACGTCCTGCAAGCTGTCGGAGCAGGCCAGAAGTCTTCAAGATGCTTGGGAGAGAACTTGAGGAGTGTGACAGAGTCAGAGACACAGTGTCCCGGAGTCCTCAATATACTTTGAGTGAACTTGAGGAGAGGTGTTTTAGACAGAGCCAACGATAAGTTGTTGCAAAAAACTTGTAGGCGGCCCTGGAGAAGAACGCAACTGCTAGCACTCGGCTGAGGCAAGAACTGGAGGCCTTGCTTTGTGTTGCAAATGAGAGAGCCGCTAAAAGAAGTGCTACAATCGAGTTGCAGGCCAGCGAAGAGAAGCACGCAACTACCAATGCTCGGCTGAGGCAAGAACTGGAGGCCTTGCTTTTTGTTGCAAATGAGAGAGCCGCTAAAAGAAGTGCTACCATCGAGTTGCTGGCCAGCGAGGAGAAGCACGCAACTACCAGTGCTCGGCTGAGGCAACAACTGGAGGCCTTGCTCTGTGTTGCAAATGAGAGAGCTGCTAAAAGAAGTGCTACATGCAATCGAGTTGCAGGCCAGCGAGGTCAAGGTGCACAGACTGGAAGGTTGGCTTGACGAAGCCGATGACAAACTCCTCCAGGAGGAAGAGGAGTTTCGCCAGAGCATGGCACTTGTTCAGGACTCCGAGAGCAGTTTTAATGCAATTAAGACGAAGCATTTTTGGAGAGTATCAGAGCGCAACGCAAACTGCCCTTCCAGGCCAGAGATACGCAGCTCGATGAGTACAAAGAATCCATGGCTGAGGCAGCTTTGCGGTATTCTATGGAGGAGGGAAGGCAAGCTGGTCTCCTGAATCAGCACCACGACTTCATTGGTGAGCTGGAGGAAACGATCGTGAGCCTCGAAGGCCGACTCGAGGAAGCGCGGTATGGGCGTGGTGAGGAAGAGATGCAAGCGTCAGCTGCAGGATATCGGATGCAACGCAGTCATGCCAGTAAATTGTTCGGCCAGTGACCTTTGGTAATTTACTTTGGGGTGTGTCAGGAAGCTGGACTCCGGGCACCCTGCTTCGACGATTGATGAGGACCTTTGATAAAGCCTTGCACTATTTCAGAAACGAAACAAAAACCTGACAGGAGAGATCAGTCCCCGTGAGCGCGGAATCCACGTTGGACGCTGTGGATGGCAGTGTGAAGAAATCTGGCCGTTGCGGAGAGAACTTTTGGCTGAGAGAACACTTGTGGAGAGTCTAGAGTGGTTCCATAAACTTAAACTTAAACCCAAAGCACTTGTTGAGAGTTTGCGAGAGTTATGAGGGTGCTTGTGGAGGGCATACATGTGGAGCGAGTTTGCAAGAGTTACGAGGGCGCTTGTGGAGGGCTGAAACCTGAACCCTAAACCTTAAACCCAAATACCCGAAAATCTAAATTGTGAGCATGTTTTTGTTTCGCCAGCAGCTGGTTCCCAAGTAGTGAGGCTGGTTTCTACTTTTTTTCCAGCCATGGCGTGCCCAGAGCAAGCAGAGAAGAAGCAGTGCACTTTTCTCGAGCGTTCAAAAAAGCGAAGCCACTTCGTGATGTGCTTGCTTCGAGATCGTCCCCGTGTCTCTGCAGATTTCATCCTGCAGTTCTTTCCAAAGGAGCAGATGGATTGCACTACTTCGAAGCGTACATGGGAGCGAGAAGCCGGCAAGGCTCGCATGATCACCAGAGTTCTTGAAGAGTGGCATCGATGGAATGAGAGCCTGCCGAAAGGATCAGACTGCTGATAAATTCGAGATTTAAGCTGCATACACATTATAGCCGTTGTTCGCACGGTTAATTAGGCTTGAGCGATAGATCTGCAAGGCGACAGAAAAACAATCCTTCAGAGCTTCAGAATTTGCGAGCAGATTGTTATGTCAAGTCAAGACTTGGAAATTTGAGCTCATCTGGCATGTTGCTGCAGTTTTTTTTGCTTTTAGCGTTTAGATGGAATTGCCCTAGACTGCCCACATGGTTCGCGGCATTCGTTCTACGTATTCGGCTGAGCACGACCTCGTTCGGCTCTTCGTTGGAAACGAGGTGGGATTCTTGTTGTAGGGCGAGTTCAAGAGAGTGACACTTGTGGAGCGATTTGTTGCATTTTTTCTGCCTCTCAGGTAATCAAGGTTTGTCCTCTTTGGCTGAGTTTTGAGAACGGCAAGAAGCGCAAGCTCGAAGATGCTGTGTTCACTGTGGAAGACAGCTTGCAGCACAGCTCCCAGTCTTCAAAAAGTGCCAAGGTTGAAGACCACAGCTCACAGTCTTTGGCGCCTTCAAAGAGCGCGAAGCCGGATGACGACAGCTGCCAGTCTTTGCCTGTTACGCAGATCGACGCGACAGATGAAGGATTGGGTTGGCAGGTCGATGTGAAGCCTGCTTCTCCTCGCCCTCTCACGGCGAACCAGCAAAAGCACTTGAGGAGAGCTAGGGATCTTTTGTGTGAGGTCGAGCGGGTGACTCCTTATGTCTCTGCTGATGCCCAAGAATCTCTACAGCCGGCAAGGCAGGATGCAATTGCATTTGTGAAGCAGCTGGAGGATTTCCAGTATCGGAGGTCTCATGTTTTGCTGTACACAGTCAAGCAAGGCAAAACTGTAGTGTCTAACTTGGTCTGCATGCTCACGAATGCGAGCAGCACGATCTCTAGCGTCGACCGCCTGCTTCTTGGCAACATAGGCTGCTTCAATTAATTAATTTCGCACTTCTGCGAAATCACTTTACCGCCAATGACGTATAATTCGCTGTGCGTATGTGCCCGCGTGACCTGTGCAAACGAGGGTCGTTGCTTGCTGTTGGCCGTGAATATCTCTTGCCAGAGATGCCGCCTTGCTGCTGTGTGGAGTTGCCTGGCGTTGTAGCCTGTTCTTTTTGTGGCTCGACGAGAACGAAGAGCGAGCTGTACCGAACATGTCTGTCTCCCTGATCCGGAAGCGAGCCAGACTCACGGCTAATAAGAACCTCAGCGCCGCTAGCCTTTGCGACGCGCTAGAGAAGGGCCTCAAACAATGCTTCACTCTTGACCTGAATGTCATGCTCGAGAAGTTCAAGGGGACGACTTGGAAGACCGCTTCCTCTCTCAGCGTTCCGGGACTAAGCTCAGCGGCTCCGCTTTTTGAGCAACTGCTGCTCGCGGAACCCACGGCTGCGCGGGCCCTAAGCGTGCGGATGCAGGGTTTCAGGTGAAGGGTTTAGGATTTATAAATAGGGTCATGAGTGAGAACCATTCAGGTCATTGCGCCCACTATCTTCCGCGCTGCGCTTGCCCAGCTCAAAGAGCGCGTGTCTGCCTGCAACGCTAGCAAGATGAAGGACGATGAGTTTTTCGATACGACCAGCATGGTGATGAGAATCCAGTTAGCCAAGCTTCGCGATATGGCCTTCTCGTAACTTGATTCAGAAGGGGACAGCAGGTTGATTGATGTTATCTGTCTTGCTTGAGGAGAGATGCGAGAGGGGGGGAGGGACCTAAATCGGATGTCGTTGCTGCTTCTGAGTCCTACATCGGCTTGGTCCAAGAAGGCAAGAAGGGAGGAGATTTTGAAAGTCGAAAAGCTTGTGGCTCTGGTAGCCAAGGAGACACCGAAGGAGACTGAGCAGACCCCGGCTGCAGGTTCCAATCCGATAGAGTCCTGCGACGAAGGTTGGCCTGACTTCACACGCGTGACAGCCGCGCTTGCTGATACTCGGGCTCTGGTGCCATGTGAAAGATCGACGGAAGAAAGCCCAGAGCTTGAGCGAGCTCCAAGCTTCCTCAAGAGGGCACCAAGCTTTGTGCAGGCCGCTGAAGAAGCAGCCTTGCAGGCAGCTCTGAAGAGCGTTCCTTTGTCGTCTGCTGCGAAGTCAGCTGCCTTCCAGGCCTGGCTGTTTCGTGAGCGATATCTTGAGGAGCGAACGAACGAGAGAGAGAGAGAGAGAGAGAGAGAGAGAGAGCTTGTGGAGAGAGAGAGCTTGTGGAGAGAGAGAGAGCTTGTGGAGAGAGAGCGCTTGTGGAGAGAGAGAGCTTGTGGAGAGAGCGAGAGAGAGAGAGAGAGAGAGAGAGAGAGAGAGAGAGAGACTCTAAACTCTAAACCTGAAACCCAAAGAAACCTGAAAGCCTCATTGAGAGGCCATCAAGTGCAGCAAGAAGCAGTCGCAGCAGAAGCAGCAGGAGGCCGTGATGGCTGCTGCTCTTGCTGCCAAGCCAAAGGCGGAAGGCAAACCGAAAGCCAAGGCTAAAGCGACGCAAGCAAGGCCCAAAGCTCAGACATCTACGAAAGCTACGCCGAAAGCTAAGGCAGCTACGAAAGCTACGCCGAAAGCTAAGGCCAAAGCCACAGCCAAGAGTGCCAAGAGCAAGAGTTGCTTGCGAAAGAAGCCGAAGAAGCAGCTCAAGATGGACCCGAAAAACGTGGCCTCGCGAGCGTATCATCGAGTTCGCAAGCTGGCGCGGCGCAACGGCAAGAGTAAGGAAGAAGCACGCAAGCTGGCCTGCGAAGCTCACAGAGAAGCAATGAAAGCCTGCACAGCCTAAGTCTCACGTCCTGAGGCCGCGCTCGCGCCCGTTTCTTTAGAGTCTGCATTCTTGTACGCTACTTCCGCGTCTCAGGTTCACAACGAGCTCCTGAGAGCGCTCCTTTCGTTCACGCATTCTTGCACGCAACTGGCGCGGTTTGAACCGCGCAGGAGCGTGCAGGTCTCAAAAGCAGAGAACACGAAAGAGAAAATTCGCGGCAGCCCGCAGGATATGGTGTCAAGCGCGTGTTTTTTCCAACAGTTTTTTTCGGATTTTTTCTTTGTTTTTTCGAAAATCGCAAAAAGAGCCCCGACAGACTGGTTCAGTTTCAGTATGGTTTTGGTCAAATTTGACCAAAACTAAACCAGATAGTGGTTTGTTTTGGGTTGTCTTTTGGTCAAATTAGACTGAAAGTAAACCATGATGCGGTTTACTTTTGGTCAAACTTTACTTAAAGTAAACCATGGGTGCGGTTCACTTTATGTATAATTTGACTGATACTCGACCATGCCCGGTTAAGTTTTAGTTCAATTTGACTCAAACTACACCCACTCGGTCTGTTTTCAGTCAAATTTGACTATAACTAAACTCATCGTAGTCGGGTTTAGGTCTAGTTTGGCCGAAAGTCAACCGTGCGTATTGTCTAGTTTCAGTCTAATTTGACCCAAACCAGACCACAGCATGGTTCAGTTTGAGTCAAATTTAACCACAACCACACCGAAACTAAACCACAGCATGGTTTAGTTTTAGTCAAATTTGACCCAAAATTGACTAAAACTAAACCAAGTTTTGCCGGCTTGATTCGGGCAGGCTAAGAAAAAAAGCCCCCTCACCCCCCCCCCCCCCCCCCCCCCCCCCCCCCCCCCCCCCCCCCCCCCCCCCCCCCCCCCCCCCCCCCCCCCACCCCCCCCACCCCCAAACCAAAAAAGGAGCCGAGACCAGCGTTTCTTGAGCATGAGAACGTTGGCTCGACAACCAGGCTCAAAGGACACCATGCCGCTTCTTCGGAGAGGAGGCATTAGACAGAGATTAAGTAGAGTTGAAGCGGAAGCCGATGGCAATGTCGTCGGCCCAGAGTCCGTTTTGGGTCGCTACCTCGTGATGCAATGGGCATGGGGTTTTCAGACACTTCCTAAGCTGCAGCTTACCGCGGCACTTGCTGTGGAAGATATGGTAGCAGGCGGCGGGGAATGCCCTGGGTCACTGCGCGCGTTGGCCGCGCTTGGAAGCAATGGCAAGTATCCCGCGAACATGTTGCACGGCTTGCTCGAAAGTAGCCAGCTTTGATTTGCATGTAGCTAAACCACCGCAGACATGTTTCTGTGATATGCAAAGAAGAAGGTACAGAGATATCATGCTTCGCGTGCGCCCGAGTAACTTTGAACTTTCGACGGTACGCTTGCCAAGCAACGACGACGAAGCGGTGGAGCTCAAGGCTCTGTGGCCACATGCTACTGGGATGTATAGATTCGTTTGTTCAGTTTCGATTGTGTGCGAGTGAGAGTTGCGCCAGATTACTTGCGGAGTGTAAGTCGCGTGCGCGAGCTTGTGATTGTTTGAGCTTGTGAAAGTTTGCTCGAGGAGAGTAGAGCTTAAACCCTAAACCCTAAACCTTAAACCCTAAACCGAGTGAGAGCTTGTGAGAGATGGCTTGAGGAGAGTCCCGGTGCACGAAGGAGTGGTTTGCTAAGATGCACAGCTGCTATCCTGCAGCCTTCCAGAAATACATATTGGATAGCCGAGAAACCTTGCACAAATATTGGGCGCAACACACTCCTGATTCTCCTTTGCTGACGGATCACCCAATTCGAAGTCGAGAAGACCGGTTCACCAGCGGCATTCCACTTGCACTACACGGAGACGGTGTAAGTGTGACTGGTCTGGGCAAAGTATGGCAGCAGGGTGTCGATGTCTACTCAATCCACAGTCTACTTCCGCAAACAGCAGGCACGAGACTAAGGCACCAAGTAATAGCTCTGGTGCCCTTAGCTTTGCTGGGCAAGGACGCGGAAAGCCAGGCTCGCATTGACGTGATGCATCGGCACCTTGCCTGGAGTCTACAAAGTCTGGGGGAAGGCGTTTGGCCTCGTCTTGACCCCTATGGCCAGCCTTGGCCGCAAGGGTCAAGGGACAGAAAAAGAGCGGGGAGGCGACTAGCAGGTCATTTCTACGCTGCTGTGATCATGGTGAAAGGCGATCTGGACTTCCTGTGGAAAGGACTGAGATTACCGTCGTTCTCAAGTAACAGCCCTTGCGGCTTGTGCCGCTGCGGAACACAGGGTCTCAATGCTTGGTGGAACATTTCACCCAACGCTAGCTGGGTTACCCGACAAGCCGACCACGTTCACAGAAGCTCAAGCCCACTTTTTCGGGCAATTAGCCGACACTCTATTTGTCCTGATTGGCTTCACAGCAAGCATCTTGGGACAGATGCGTACATAGCGGCGTCAGTAATGACGCTCTTATCGTACGAACTCATGCCCAGCGCACCGTCGAGGAATTGCTGCAGCATCTTGCAGTTCTTGAAAGCCTACGCTCCAGGTCAGACCATCAACAAGTTGAAACTGTATCTCGCCCAACTAGGTTTTGAGTAGTGAATTTCCAAGGATAGATTCGTCGGCGCCTTTTACAGCCATGTAAGGAGCATGTTCGTGCCGGATGCAAAACATCCTTGGGCGCATTTCCCGAAGCTGAAAACAAAGGGCGCGGAAACGAAGAATTTACTTCCAGGACTACTACAATGCTGGATGACGTACATGGATGACACGAATCAGGCTGCTTGCTTGACTATATAAGAAGTTGTGCTGCAAAAGAAACAAGCTGATCAGCTTAGGTTCACATGCAGATCATGCTTCTTCTCGAACGCAGCATAAAATTGGATGGCATCGTCTCCGACTGTTTCGACTTTGCTCTCCCTGCTGACGACGCAACAGAGCTAGTGGAGACGGGCTGGGAACACTTTGCTCTGCAGTCAGCATTGATGAAACATTTCGTGCAGTCGGAGGGCAAACTCCTGTTCAACGGCACATTCAAATCGCATTGGCTCATGCACTCCATTCTCATCTCATCCTGGGTTTCTCCAAGAGACTTGACCAAACCAAAGCCGCAGACACGTTGTTGCAGCAGTTTATCTTGCCAAGCAGCCTGAACCCCTGCTAGCAGCCAGGAGTGGCTCAGTGCTACGCAGACGAAGACCTGATGCAAGGCGTTCGTCAGTTAGTGAAGTATGCCACGCGCGGACGTGATCAAGCCTCGGCTATTCGGAAAGCCATGGTGAAGTACAGCTTGGCATTGCACCTGCAGCACACAAATCTTGCTGCGTGAAGAAAAAAAGAGAGTTCTTGTGGAGTGTGAGAGCTGCATCTTCGCTTGTGTCCAGTTGCACATGTCTTGATATAGCACGCAAGCTTTTCCGCCGAATAATTCAGTCCGCTCAAGCTCCAGTTCTTTCCTGCTTGCTACAAGCTCGTCTCGTCCCTGGCACTTACAGCCATGGACCTCGCTTCGGCCTTTGCTAAGGGAATGCCGTCTACCCGAGGCGAGCTTGTAGCAGAAACGCAGCCAGACAACAAGGACACGCAGCTCCAGCTGCCGTCTACCCAAGGCCAGCTTCTAGCAGAAACGCAGCCAGACAACAAGGACACGCAGGTCCAGGAGCTGGACCTTGACGAGCCAGAAGAGCTCACTGCGAAAGCTGCTGAAAGCGAGCAAAAAGACGTGGCAAAGCCGAAAGTGAAAGCCGGAAAGCCGAAAGCCGAAACGGCTGCTAAGGCTAAGGCAAAAGCGAAGGGAAAGGCAAAAGCAAAGGCAACAAGCAAGCAGAAAGAGCAAAAGCCCGTGGAGGAAGCTGAGGACCCTCCGTCTGAGACCAAAGAAGCCAAAGGGAACGGGAAGAGAAAGAAAGCAGAGCAGAACGACGAGAACGAAGACACGAAGGAAGCCAACAAGCAAGACAAGAAGGCCAAGAACCAGGACAAGAAGCCTGCCAAAGAGGAGAAGGACACGAAAGAGGAGGAGAAGCAGGGAAAGGCCAAGCAAAGGAAAACAAGCGGCGACAATGGCTCATCGGAGCCAACCAAGCCGAAGAGTGCTAAGGAAAAGGCTGCCAAAGAGGAGAAAGACACGAAAGAGGAGGAGAAGCAGGGAAAGGACCAGGGAAAGGGCAGGCGAAGGAACACAAGCGGCGACAATGGCTCGGAGCCAACCAAGCCAAAGAGTGCTAAGGAAAAGGCTACGGCACTTGTGGCCTGGACCGAGGCAAAGGAAGACGACCAGGCGACTGATCGAGAAAGTGCACTTGTGGAGAGTAAAGGGTTTGTTTTTTTGTTTCAGGGTTCGAGGGTCAGTTTTAGTGTTTCGCTGAATCAAAACTTGCGAGAGAAACTTGAGGAGAGCTTGCTGAGAGGAATATGAATTTTCGTGACAACCCCGCAGGGCTCGGACCAGGAAGAGCACCGCGATCCCTGCAAAGCTCGCTTCTTCAAGGCAGCCAAGAGCAAGGACAAGCTACCGGAGCCGCTAGTCGAACTCTTCGAAAAGTCAAACAGAAGAGACCAGACGGAGATCGTGAACAAGGTGGTCAGACGCAACGAGCACGGCGGCTTTGTGCTCAACTTCGAGAGCGAGTTCTACAGGGAGATCCACACGAGGTATGAGGAGAGCAAAGCCAAAGAGAAAGCTATCGGCAAGACCCTGACGGTAGCAAGAGCAATGGCAGGAGGCAAAGCTATGCTTCAACTTTCCTATAGGCCCTAGCCCAATAATAAACCTCTAAACTCTCAAGCACCCTAACCCCTAAACCCCTATAAGGCCTTCACCTACGTAGTTGTTTTCCCAGAGGCCAAGAAGCGCTGGACGCTGCTATCCGTTCTGGTGAGTGCACCGTGATCCGCGAGAAAGGCAAAGAGTTCTACGTCTTCGAGGATTCCGTAGCAAGTTTCGCCCCATTTCTCTCGGTGAGTTTGCTGTTGGAGAATTATAACACTCGATCCTTTCAGGAGCTGTCTGTTACCAACACCACTGGCAAGCTGATCAAGAGACAGGTCACTGGTGAAGGCGAGATTGGACAGGACAGCCTAACTGTAATCTTGACTAAGGAGACAGCACTCTGCGTGGTCGAAAAAAATTGATTGATAGGAGGGCGGCAGCGCTTTCCGAGAGTTCCTGGAGAACTTTGAGATGCACCTCACACCCAGCTCCGCAGACGCCTCGTCAAGCTCAAAGGGCCTGGCGCAGAACGGCTTCTCCGAAGAGGACCCTACTTTTTTTGTTCGCTATACCCTAAAAAAAAAAGCTATGGCAGGAGAAGGCGAAGCTGAACGAGGGCATCGCTATGCTTACTGATGCTCGCAAGAACGCCGAGAGGCTCTTTCTCGACATGAAGTCGAAGAACTCCAAGTCAAGCCAAGTGGTCAAAGACATCATGCGAAACAACCTTCAAACCGTACTTGAGAAAATCAGCGAGCTGAACCAGGCCTCGGTGCAACAATCTGTTTCAGAGCACATGTGGAGAGCACATTTGTCACCGATAGCACCTTTCGGAGGTTTCACTCTTTGGAACCCTTCGTGATCAACCCGTGAGCGTGCAGCAGCTAAAGTCCCTGCTGCGAGAGGCCTGCATGTGCCCTGAACCCTAAACCCTAAAATCCCTCAAGTTTTATCCTGAACCCTAAGCCCTGAAACCCCTCAAGTTTTATCCTAAACCCTAAACCCTAAACCCTGACCCTAAATCCTACATGGATAGAGAAAGAGAAGTATGGGTCCCTGCAGGCCGCAGTGGCCATGCAAGAGCTGACCGAGTCTACAAAGCTGTGCCGGGCTTTGAGCTGAGCTAAGCAGTCTCACCCCACTAGCCTTTGTGCAGAAGGCAATTTTGCATTGCCTGTTCATCTCAGAAGCCGAGGTGTTCTTCAACACGTCGCGTTAAAGTAGTAGGGAGGGACAAGCCAAAGGGGAATGGCATAGAACGCTGAGAGGAAACATGCGTGATTGCAGGCTGCTGTCATTTCTCAAACCTGTGCTTCGAGGAAATTGAGGAGAGCAAGGGCCCCTATTTCAACGAAACTTGCGAGTTACTTGTGGAGGGAGAGATGATTTGGGG